TTCAACAATGACATCCCATATGTGTTTTTCCGAAACGATAGTTTTGCCTACATCCGGAACATAATAAGCAGGTATCTTCATGATGTGATTCAAAAAGTTGAAAAGTATGGTGTTAGTACATCTGATGGCTAGAGGATTGCCTTCTTAAAACCAGGATCTTTAGCGGATAATTTATGGAGCAATGTTACTTTGAAACTTCACCGCCACTATCAATTATAATTTGTGATTTGCGTACGTCGCCTAAAGTTGTCAAATATTCCTGTTGGATTGACAGTAACGTTCCCAACGGTCTTTATCTTTTTCTTATTTTTGAGATCCTTTTAGGTTTCAGTTCCTGTTAATGCTGTGTCTCCATTCTTCAAATCATTCAACTAATTGGGGATCGAGATCATGCGGTATCATTGTTATATGAGGGCTTATTATAACTATTTAATCGTCTTATATAACAACAGCAGCAGCAGCAACAACAACAACAACAGCAACGAATATTATCAACAGGCTGATAAGGTTAAGGTTGGGTATAAAGCTGTTGAGTCTGAGGATGATTACACCGAGCAGAGAAAGGACAATAGAAATCAAGGTAAACTTAGGCAACGTATTCAAACCACAAATCATAAATGATAGTGGTGCTGAAAATGGTGTAACGTTACTACAAAACCCATTCACTAAAGGTCCTGATTTCAAAGCAGATGCATCGAACAATCATCTAATCATCAAGGGTGCTGGAACTATTTTCCTCGACTTGATTCACATCATGAAAATACATGCTATTGATGTCTATAATTGACGGACAACAAATAATAGTAATAATATTAATAAATTTATTCTCGATGAGGTTTAAGATACCCTCGTCTATAAATGATCCTGAGAGTAGCTATGTGGAACTATAAAACTTAGTAAAGTCTGTGTCTTGAATTATTGTAGTATTGTCCTTTTTAGATGCTGGTTAAGATGAACATAGTGTGAACAGCGAGCAAGATATTTTATGATCGTGAATGTCTGACCTTATTGAGGATAAGTATTAACCTTATTACAAGTACCAGAAAAGAAAAGCAACAGGACTACATACGTGCCCATTTGATAAAACTATTCTTCTGATAGTATGTATATAGTAAGTATAGACTGCACACTCCCCATAAGAGGATAACATATAATACAACCGAGGTATCCATAACTATAAGGGGAATTCCAGAAGAAAAAATGCAATTATTTGCAAGTAATCAGAGACAATCATCACCCTTTTATTTGTATTCTGATTTCTTACATTCATCAATTTACCTTATCAGCAATAACCAACATCGGTCATTAATCAATCTGAAACAATCATTCTCCATAATCATCCAACATCAACCCAAATAAAGGAACAGTAAGTAATGTAAAATATTGTTTATGCTAAGACTTAGGTAATACTATGATTACATTAAGGATTTAGTAATAATATGATTACAACAATGATTAAGTAATACTTCCCGGGTTCTCGAAAACCCAACTGTCCAATTAAAAAGTGAAAGTTGTTCTCGATGTCGACAATTTTCCTCGTTAATATGAGGTGAAATTTCTTCTTATTTATTCTATACAGTTATTTAGATAATAAAAGAAATAGACTTTCTTCCCTCTTAATTATAAGACCACAGGATTTAATTTTAACAGATTTCCAATCTTTTTATCCAACTTATAATAATCTATTATCACCAAAAACAACTCTTTATTAATTACTACTCAAAATGACTACTTTCAATTTCAAGAAAGGTGAAGATATCACCAAAGAAGAACAAGACTCAATGATTGCGGCTATCAAGAACCGCGAAGAAGTCAAAAAAGCTGATATCTTATCTTAAGAGTCAATGAATCCAGGGTTTGGATGAATCGTATTCTAAACTCACATACTTCGATGAATAATCCGATGGATTTTTTGAGAGCGACTTCATTCAATGATTATCAACCAGCCAGGCTTGCCACTGTCTTAGATCAAGCGTTGAATAAATTCTTCAGAGAATTCAAAATACTAAATGGTCTACCACCAACGATAGTTTTGATATGTTGATCAAGTTGAACACTGAAGTCAAGAACTTGGGTATTGAAGATATCTCGTTGTTGTTGAAGGATATGTGGTTTATCCAACCAGCTAAAAATCCTGCAGAAGAAGAGGCTGTTATGAAAAATGCCTGCAACTTCTGTAACCTCTTTCCAGAATATGAGGTGGGTTTTAAAATCATGTTTGCATTAATGAAATTCTATGGTAGGAAAACCAAAACCGATATCGAGGAGTTAAAGACCAATAACCCCAATTAAATCTTGTTCTTCTTTTGTGATGTCCTCACCCTCTTTGAAATTGTAAGCGGTGGTACTCGTTTTCAGTAGTAATTAATAAAGAGTTGTTTTAGGTGATAATAGATTATTATAAGTTGGATAAAAAGATTGGAAATCTGTTAAAGTTGAATCCTGTGGTCTTATAAATAAAAGGGAAGAAAGTCCATTTCTTTTATTATCTAAATAACTATATAGAGTAAATAAAGAGGAAATTTCAATATAGTAATGTATTATCACCTAATAATATGATTAATCTTCATACTGTTCCTTGAAAGTTTTTCACTTTGAGGCGTCGTTTTGGGTATCTCGATGAGGTTGAAGCAACTCTCGTCCATTTAATAGAACAATCATCCTAATAGTATCTATAATAATAACGATAATAATGATGAGTGTATCTATGCAGGCTATATGACTATGAATTCAATGATTCCTTTTCAAAATTACTTGACAAAAAAGCCACCGACTTTATATTAAGGTTGATGCATCCTGATAGAATCTATGTAGGTTATATAAATAAATAAATAAATGTATTCTTGATGGAGTTGAATCAACTCTCGTCCGTTTAATAGAGTAACTATGTAGTCTATATAACTATAAAACTTACTGATCCCTATCAGCAAAAGATAAATTATCTGGTAAAAAAAAACAGAACTTTATATGTGCCCATTTAATAGAACTATCATCCCGATAGTAAGCATGCAGTATAACTACAAACTCCTCATAAGGAGATAACATATAATACCCATAACTATCAGGAGGGGTCCTGAGGATGACATGCAATTATTTGCAAATCAAGTCCATTGATATATATATATATATTGAGTTGCTAAAGACTCACAGATTCACTAGCATTTAATCAAAGAACATATACCAACTAGTATATACATACCTCTCTTATATATGTTTATCTTTTCTGAGAATAATAATAATAATATAAATCTTTATCCTTTTTTTTTATTGTGACTCATCCACTCATCAATTCACCTCATCATCGATAACTAAGCTCACTCAATAATCAATCTGAACTAATCATCCTTCATAATCATTCAACAACAACCCTAAAAAAGGAACAGTGAAGTAAAGTAAAAATATATTTTTAATAATAATTTATTCTCGATAGGGTTGAATCAACCCTCGTGTATTTAATACTATGTAGATTATACAACCATAAAACTAGAAATCTTACGAAGCCTTGTCAGCAAAAAATAAAGCATTGTGTCTTAAATCATTGTAATATTGTTCGTTTTGGATGTTGGTTGAAAGAAGGTCACATAGTGTGAACAGCTAACAAAACATTTAATCATCATGAATGTCTTACCCCACTGAGAATGAAATTATTACTCTTTTTTAACTGCCAGAAAACAAAAACAGCAGCACTACATATGTGCCCATTTAATGAACCAATTCTTCTGATAGTACGCATATAGTAAGTGTAGACTTTCACTTTTTTCATAAGAGAATTACATATGATACAACTGTAACGCCCATAACTATCAGGGGGAAAAGAGGGATAACATGCAATCAAAGTAAAGTAAAGTAAATGTATTCTCAATGAAGATAAATCCTTCGCCCATTTAATAGAGCAATCATCCTGATAGAAGCTATGTATGCTATATAGTTAAATAATCCACTTATCCCTTTCAGCGTAACGTGTGACCGTTAGGAGAATTGGTTTATTTATTTTTTAATCATTTGCAAGTAATCAGAGACAACCTTTATTTGAGCAATCACAACAGAAAGATCCTTATAATTCTACTCTCAACAAACTCTCCAAAGGATTTCATTTTTTGATAATAGGAGTGAGTTTTATAGTTAAATAGACCATATAGTTACTACCAGAATGATTGTTCTATTAGATGGACGAGGGGTAATTCAACCTCATCGAGAAAAGATTATTATTATTATCATTATTATAGCATTAACCCTTTCGTTTGTACTCTGGTTCATCCATTCATCAATTCACCTAATTGAAAATAATTCACCTCAATCAATAATCAATCTGAGATAACTATCCTTCACAATCATTCAACAATTTAAAAAAAAGGAACAGTGAAGTAAAGTATATTTCTCGAAGAGGATGAATAAATAATATTATTTTATTCTCGACGGGGCTATATCAATCCTCATCCAATTAATAGGACAATCATCCTGAAAGTAACTATGTAGGCTACATGATTATTAAATACTCATCACTACCAGCTTAAAGTGGGACCTTATATTAATTCTGGAGTGTACTAGTTTCAAATAAGGTCACGTTGAGTGAACAGCTAACCAGGATGAATTCTTTGCCCATTTAATAGAGAAAAATCATAAAGCTACCTGTTTCTTTAATATAAATTCATAATCTAAAAGACCACAGAAACAAATCACAGCTATCGACAAGAAAAAATATTGAAGAATTGTTATTCAAAAAACAACAAAAAAACATCCAAATTTTTGTTTTTCCCTAAAATCCAAAATTTTCTCTAAAATTTTCAAATTTTTAATTTGCCATAAAAAGGTCAAAACCGCTACAATTACCACCATCTAACCCATCAACCTTATGAAACAAATCATTCTCTTCAATATACACTATACAAAACATCATAAAATAAGCTAGAAAAGGTATAAAATGAGTGAAAACCATAAATTCATGAACGGTCAAAACATAACCATCAGTCAAACATGGGGTCTAATTTAGACCCAATCTGGGGCCCGTGGTGAAATGGTTATCACGTTATCTTCCGGAGGTATATGGTTGCGGGTTCGAGTCCCGCCGGGCTCTGGATGTTTTTTTCAGGAAAATTAAGTTAAGTTAAAAGGATAGTTATATCTTTTTTTTTTTTGCAATTTTTTTACAACATGGTATAGTAATACTAGTGTACATGTATATAGTAATTACACTAATACACATCAGTAAGTAAGTAAGTGGTAGTTATACTAACTAAGTAAAAGAAATTTTTCAAAAAAAAAAAAAAATGAAAAATTGCCAAAAAAGCCGCTCTTTGAAAGACAATAAAATAAATTAAAAATGACTCTGTTTTGTAACTTGATTTTTCTCTTTATTTATTTATCTATATTGTTAGACACCACCAAGTTAGTTAGTTAGTTATTTAGTAGTGATCTTACTTAATACCATTTGTGGGTGTGTTCTTTTTTTTTTTTCTCACGGAGTTTACAATAAATTTATATATACCATATATATAAGTATATTCTTTTCACATAATTGAATCATATTGAAAAAAGAAACATTAGCCTATCTATATATTTTATTATCATGTGTGGTATTTTAGCATTAGTTTTATCAGATCAAGAGAAAAATTGTGCACCTGAGTTATTTGACGGTTCATTATTTTTACAACATAGAGGACAAGATGCAGCAGGTATAGTTACATGTGGACGTCGTGGTAGATTTTATCAATGTAAAGGTAATGGTATGGCAAGAGATGTTTTCACACAACAAAGAATGAGTGGATTGGTTGGTAATATGGGTATTGCCCATTTACGTTATCCTACAGCAGGATCAAGTTCAACATCTGAAGCACAACCATTTTATGTTAATTCACCATATGGTATATCATTAAGTCATAATGGTAATTTAACAAATGGAGAAGAATTACAAAAATATATGGATGAAGTTGTTCATAGACATATTAATACAGATTCCGATTCTGAATTATTATTAAATTTATTTGCATCTGAATTAGCAACATATGATAAATCAAGAGTTAATAATAATGATATTTTTAAAGCATTAAAAGGTGTTTTTGAAAAAGTTAAAGGTGCTTATGCATGTACTGCAATGTTAGCAGGTTATGGTATTATTGGATTTAGAGATCCTCATGGTATTAGACCATTATTAATTGGTGAAAGATTAAAAGAAGATGGTACAAAAGATTATATGATTGCATCTGAATCAGTTGTTTTAAAAGCTCATAAATTTCAAGTTTATAGAGATATTTTACCAGGTGAAGCAGTTATAATACCTAAAAATACAATGAAACCAGAATTTAAACAAGTTGTACCATTACAATCATATACACCAGATATTTTTGAATATGTTTATTTTGCAAGACCAGATTCAGTTTTAGATGGTATTTCAGTTTATAGATCAAGATTAGAAATGGGTGTTAAATTAGCTAAAAATATTGAATTACAATTTTCTAAAATTGATAAAAAAGTAATTGAAGAAATTGATGTTGTTATACCAGTTCCTGATACATCAAGACATTCAGCATTAGAATGTGCAGTTTCATTAAATATACCATATAGAGAAGGTTTTATTAAAAATAGATATGTTGGTAGAACTTTTATTATGCCAGATCAACAACAAAGACAATCATCAGTTAGAAGAAAATTAAATGCAATGGCATCAGAATTTTATGGTAAATCTGTTTTATTAGTTGATGATTCAATTGTGAGAGGTACAACATCAAAAGAAATTGTTAATATGGCTAGAGAAGCAGGTGCTAAAAAAGTTTATTTTGCATCATGTTCACCAGTTATTAGACATAATCATATTTATGGAATTGATTTAGCAGATACAACAGCATTAGTTGGATATAATAGAAATGAAGAAGAAATTGCAAAAATTATTGGAGCAGATCAAGTTTTTTATCAAACTTTAAAAGATATGATTTCATGTTGTCAAAGAGATGAACAAATTAAAGAAAATGAATTAGAATTAGCTTTAACACCTGTTGTTTCAAGAGATGATACAATAAATTCACAAATTATGAATAATAATCAATTACCTCCAATTGATTCATTTGAAGTTGGTGTTTTCACTGGTGAATATGTTACAGGTAATGAAGAAGAATATTTATCATTTGCAGAAAAGGCAAGAGCTTTGAATGCAAGATTAAAAGATATGAATCAAATAGATGGAGGATTACATAGTTTAGATATGGCAGATGCTAAAGCTGAATCTGAAATTAGTATTTTCAATAGTGGTGATTATAGTTAGAGTTTAGTATAGTTAGTATAGATAAGTATTACATAATTCAATTTGTGTGGTGTAAAGATGTTGAAATCATAAAAATTCAAAATTTTAAATTTTTTAAATTTTTCAAATTTTTTTATTAATTTGTAAGTGATAGCTTGTTAACAAAGGAGGAGAGTTGGTTGTTCATATACAGACACACAATCATGTCTTCTAAGAAATATCTATCAGAAGAAATCATTCATGATTCAGACATATCTTCGGATGAAGAAGTCGATTCAAAATATACACCTCCTAAATCATACATTAAGATAAGTTCAAATTCATCTAAAAAACATGATTTTAAAGATTTGAAGAATAAAGAATTATGGTTGATTAAATTACCTAATGATTTAAATTTGAAAAATTTGAAGAAATTACCATTATCAAATCTAGATAAATCAAGTCAATTCAAAATAAACAATGTTGAATATAGTTTAAAAGAAGATCTATCATTAATAGATAATGAGAATGATGAAGGTAACAAGACATCAAGTAAATATACAGTATTGACCAAAACAAGCTCTAAAGACGATTCATTCAAACCACAAAAGAATTTGAAATTCAATAGATATTATAATATTAGTGAATTTGTAAAGATACCTGATATCAACTATGATAAAGTTGTGGTGCAAAGAGTTAATGTTAAAAAATATGATGATTTAAGAATGAGACATTTCCCAACCGGTTATGGTGTTAAAGATTATGATGAAGCTTCAGAATATGTCATACCATCAAAGAGAAAAGTGGAAGATGTTGATGTTGATGGTGATATAGTGGAAGATAGTAAATATCATAAGAAATCCAAAAAAGAAAAGAAGGATAAGAAGGATAAGAAAGATAAGAAGGATAAAAAGGATAAAAAGCATAAAAAGAAGAATAAAGATTAGTTTATCATTAAATATAGTTTAGTTTATTATAATTTCATTTAATATACATAAATTCAAACACGACTTGAATAATCTTTTAAAATACCTTTCATATGAGTATTTGTAATTTTACCTCTTCTTGGTTTTTTCTGTTTTCTTTCTTGAACATTTGTAGTTTTATTATTTTTAATATTTTCTAAATCAACATTAGTTGGTTTCAAACCATTTTTTAATAATTGAATTGCTAATTCATCACCTTTTGGAACTTTTACTTTTGACCACATTTCATAAAATTCAGGTTCAATTAATTTATCACCACCAATTGGATAATTACCTTTATTTAACCAAATATGTCTTGGAGAATTTTCCTTTTTAGTCTTATGTACAATGATCTTATTTTCCCTTTCTAATTTAGCAATAGTATCTAAACAACCATTCCAACCATCTTTTAATTGTTTAACTGGTAATCCTTGAAAAGTTGGTTGATTTTCCAAAACTTTTAATAAATCAGAAGCAGTTTTAATATTATGTAATGATAAATATTCCAAAGTTTTATTAATTGGATCATATTTAATTCTATCAACATTTGATAAACATTTAATTAATTTTGAATCAAATTTAATTTTCATTTGTTTTTCAATATCTTGAATATGTATTGGACGATCAGATGATTTAATTATATCTGAAGCAGTCATTAATCTAATTGATAGAGAAGTTGAATTTGTATTTGAGTCATCATTATCATTATCACTATCATTATCATTATCATTATCATTATCACTATCATTCAACCTAATTCTTTTAGATTCTGATTCATCATCATTAAGAGATCTTTTAGATGAAGATGAAGATGAAGAGGAAGAAGATTTAATTGTATCAACTATACGTTTTTGAGACGGGAGAGTAGTTGAAGAGTTTTTGATGGATCTTTTGAAAGCATTTAGCTGAGAAGCAAATGGATCAGACATAGTTTGAGTGTGATATAAGTATACTTCAAGATAAGATAAGTGTAGTTAATTAAAGTAAAGTTCAATAAAACATGAAATAGTGTATTTAAATGTGGCAAATGTGGCAAAGCAAGCATTACATAATCATTACGTAATGTGGCTGAGTAAAGAGCAGTTTGCAAACAAAAATTTTCATTTTTTTATTTCAATTTTCATTGACACTTTACTTTACTTCTTCTTCTTCTTCTTCTTTCTTCTTCTTTTCTTTTTGAAGTATGGATGATTGTCAGGTGATAGTTGGTATTATAATTACATTGTTACACAGTTAATTAAATATTATGATATCTATATACTATGTGCTGATTCGTTCTAGATCAGAACTAGTGGTATACCACCACTTGAATTCAGCTTTAAAACCATCGTCGGTAGAGGTCTGCCTAATATAACTGGTATTGACTCATGAATCGATGATGACCTATAGACTGATACATATAACTTGTATAATATAACGTGTAACGTGTAACATGTAAAGTATATAACATATAACATATAACATATAAAGTAGTTAATAGTAACAAACACATCTTTACACCAAAAATCAACAAATTCAAATTTTTCAATTTCTTCAAATTCGGACAACTTGACTAGTTGATATACCATTTGTTACTTATATAAGTATACTGCTATAGGTATAGGTATAGGTATCACCATGTCTTTATTAAGATCTTCTTTAAAGTTAGGTTTATCTAAACGTTTGCTCGTTAGATCTACTAACTTGAATAAACTTCCACTATTTCAATATCGTTCATATGCAACTGAAAAGAAAACTGATGAGTATAAATCTATATTAAATGATGATTTATTATCTAAAGCAGGTTTAAATGAAGATGATATAAAATCAGATAAGCAATCATCATCCGAAAAAGCTTATGAAGATGAATTCGGACAACCTAAAAAGAGAAGAAATAATACAAAATCATCAATTGAT